CCTCAAATGCATGAATTTAAACGTCGTACTAGGTTGGCATCTCGGTCCCAACCGTTCACTGTCGAAACAATTGCCTCTTCTACTCCAACAACTTATTCTTTCGGACTTCCCGACAATCCTCCCTTCCTCTTAGTTGCTTCCCTTATAACTATAATCTTTAAATATTACAATATAATGCCAATCGACATCTTCTTATGCCTTGATCCTGATGACCGTCCTTCTCTATATCTTTTCCTCAAACACCCTTCTTTATTCTTACTCTCAGTTTTTGTAACCCTTTTTGCGTTTTAGTGGCACTCTCGCCTTGCTTGAGGTGAAATGATTAAAAAGATATTTTACCTATTTGATTCCACTTTCGTCGTTGCTCAAATGTATGGCTTCAAGATATTTTTGTTGATTCAGATCTCTTCTTCCTTTGTGAGAAGATTGTCCAATATCCACCGCCATCTAGGAAGAGTTATACCGCGCAACATTGTTCCATAGCCTCTTGGTTGTGGTTGGTCTTGGCGATGGCGTCGATTCGATAATAAAATTACATTCTTCTCTCGCGGCTGGTGATCTACACAGGAAATTTTAGACTTAAATATTTTATTAATCGAATCGAGATTTACATTTTATGTTCGATTGTGACCAATGTTAGAAAAAGTATCACTTGCTTTCGAGAGTTTTTTAAGAGATCTGTTCGTCAAGTGTGTTGGATATAGATAATGTACTGCCGAGGTAGACAAACATATCTACGACTTCTAGCCGTTTACCTTTGACATATATCGATAGCGGGATGCACGGTTTCCTGGGTGCAGGCTGCAGTATGACAGTTACTTTCTAGGGACTGATTGTAAGTACAAATTTATCACAGACGGATAGAGGAGAGTCCATAAGAACTTTCAAATGCCTCTCACAGTGTGTAACAAGGTCACAGTCGTCAGCATTCAGAGGACCACGTATCAGATCAACAGATGTCTGAGTCACACCAGCGAATCGACCAATGTTGAATAGCTTTGACGTTGTATATGCGAGCATTACTTTGCAAAAAAGCCTGCATTATCACGATGGAAATATAGATAGCAAATAGCTAGGTGCCAGAATATCCCATTGCATTGTTTATATCCCCTCGTGCTGGGAGGTATTTGACGACGGCGTCAATTCGATAATAAAGTTGTATTTTTCTCTCCCGGTTGGTGATGTACACAGGGAATTTTAAACTTAACTATTTTAATAATCAATTCGAAGTTTACCTTTTATCTCTGACTGTCACCAAACCCTTGACTCATGTTTTATAAAAGCATCACTTGCTTTCGACAGTTTATAAGAGATCTGTTCGTCAAGTGGGTTGGATTTAGATAATGTACTGCCGTGGTAGACAAAAATATCTACGACTTCTAGCCGTTTACCCTTGACATATATCGATAACGGGATACAGTTTCCCCAGTGTCGTTTGCAGTATAATAATTGCATTCTAGAAACTGATTGTAAATCCAAATTCATCACAGTCGGATAGAGAACAGTCCATAAGAAGCTGCAAGTGCCTCTCACTGTGGGTAACAAGGTTACAGTCGTCAGAATACAAAGGACCACCTATCAGATCGACAGATATCTGTGTCACAGCAGCAAATCGACGAATGTTGAATAGCTCTGACGTTGTATATGCCAGCATCGCTTTGCAAAAAAGCCTGCATGATTGTGATGGCAAAAAAGGTAGCAAATAACCTATGTGCCAGAATATCACCTTGGTTTACTGGTTCTGGGTGGTCTTTGGCGATAATAAAATTGCAAACTTCTCTCGAGGTCGGTAATCGCTAGTTGTTTTGAGTCTAGGGACAAAAGAATTTCGACATAGAGAATTTTAAACTTAACCGTTTTATTAATCACGTCGACGTTTATATTTCTAACTGGCCTGAAGGGTTGCTCTCTCCCTCTACTTTCTGTATCTATCGTTCTCACGCAGGTTCAGCCAATCAAAATCGACTTCTTTATTTTATCTTGTATGTGGTCCCTAAGGTCAACCTCAGGACATCAGAGCAGAGATACACTTCCCCACTAAAAATTATAGTCTGCTAAGATATTATTTAACAACATTTTCGCTATTCTTTGTTTATAATGATATTGTTTTTCTGTATCTTAATACTCTGCTTAGCCATCTTTACGTAGCGTCATAACTTAGAAGATTCTTCAAAGAGACCGCGGGTCCTGCGCTGGCATTAATTTACCCGTTACTTTAAAAAAAATATTGGCACCAATTCTTTCTTCACTAACTCTAAGACTAAGCAATTTTTATTTTTAATGTAGACGTAGCAGTCGGCACATGCTCGAATCCGAGCATCGTGAACCTTATCCTCTCTCTCGCTATTCAATTTCTTCCCTCTGGTAGCGGTGATGGATATGGCTGTGAAGTCCCAGCCTACACTTGAAGAGTCATCAAAGAGGGTTTGACGAACCTGTTTGCGTGAATTTGATTTCAGTGTACAACTCTGAGCGAAAGAGAAGCCCACAACCTTTGGCTAGAAGCGCTTACCTCGCCTTTCTAAGGGAATCGAGAGAGGTAAGATCTGGTAAACCTTGATTCACGGCGTCGTCAGATGCTTGTTATGTCAATGTAATGAGTTTTCATGTAAGATGAAAAGAAATCCAAAAGCTTAGTAGAATTGAACATAAAACCTAGACTATAATTTGAGTCACGCCAGGTAAAACAAGACAAACATGGACAAAGCCCAGTCAGAACAAAATGGCGTAAAGTGCTTTCGTCTCCTTCTTAAATTAACCTTTGCCATTAATATATATGCCCTGGATTGCGCATGCGTGTATAAATGCGCACGCATTTTTTTTTTTTAATGAATACTCCTCGTAGACATCTACTCCAAACATATTTTAATATTGCATATCTTACAAAAAAAACCCTTTTTTCCCATTTTCTCTAAAACGTCATCTTTTTTTCAGGTTATTTTTTGCTTCCTTTCGTAGAACCACATTCCTATAACTTTAAGTCTTTTCTCCAACCGTGATGAGATTGTTCAAACTTTCGCTGTCATATTGGAGGAGAAATAAGGGTTAATAATTCAGGAAACCTACACCCTTGAGCAAAATAATCTTACAAATTTGTGTGCAACCAATTATATTTTTTTTTAATTGTCATTATTGTTTGTTTGTGAAATTATTTTTGCAGAATAGTCGAAAATCTGTAGTCATCGGAAACTGATTATTAGGAAAAAAACACAGACAAAATAAATGAAGAATTTTTAAAAATTTTATGGAAAAAGTTTATAACGGGAAAGAAGATACGGAAAGCAAAAAAAAAAAAAAAAAGACTCCAATCTGATATAGAAAGTTTTTGAAACGAAGAGAAGCATAACAGGGAAACGTAATAAAACACGTTAAACAAGTTCTGGTATATGAGGAAATAATATGAGCTTCTTCTTCTTCAGGAGGTCAGTGGTCATGGTAAGTAAGCTTGGACTTTCACCTAATTGGCTTGGCTGATAGGGACGTGGATTTGTATGTATAGCCATTACACTATAATGTTAGTTATCTAATTCAGCTTTTTATATGATGCAACCTCAGTACTTATCTGTTAAAAGTATTTCCGAGTCTATAATCCTTCCTGGATCCGAGCCACAAGCATAAACATGCTCTGTTTACTAGCAGCGGCGGGAGACTTTCTGCTCTTGACTAGTATGTCATAGAAACAAAATCGGACGCGTGATTAATTTAAAGAACACATGACGCTAGTATATGAAGGACGCATGGTGAATGTATTGTTGTACGAAAATAATAAATTTTTCTTGGAAATTACTCTCTAATATTTGGGTGTGTCTTCAACATCGGTGCGTCTTATAAGCCGGAAAGTATGGTATATATATATATATAATAAAAGCCTTAAACACTAATATTACATATTAATATTTTTTATTATATCCTTACTCTGTCGTGGACATTGAGTTCTACCTGGATTCTATCCTCTTGGAATTATTTTTTATACAAATATATATGTATGTGTATGTATGTACGTATATATATATTTATATATTTTAGATATATGATTGCATATGTATGTGTATATTTACCACTAATAATATCCATATATATATATATATATATATATATATATATATGTGTGTGTGTGTGTGTGTGTGTGTGTGTGTGTGTGTGTGTGTTTCTTTTGCGTTTGCCAAATTCTCTTAACCATGACCAATTACTGTACACCCAGCTTGGTGTCGGTTGAGCTTCGTCAGGTGATCTTGCTCTAAATACATCCCCGTTGCTACGTTTGCTACGCCCCTAATAATTTACAGATCTCGTGACGTGACTTGCGCATATTCAAGACGAATATCGCGTATAAATTTTGTTGTAAAATACGCGTTTATACATAGCGTGATCGTACAACAATCAAGGCAACAGTGTCTTTCCTTTATCACCTATCAAAACGGCACTAAAAATAATATATCTTTTGAAATTATCACAATAGAAATGGTTTATAACAAAACAATTGTACATTACAACCGCAATGTCTACGAAACGACAATCCTTTTTTAAAAAAAATGCACAGATATTTTAAGTTTTAGACGAATTGTCGTGACTTCTTGTACACTTTTTGTTTAGGAATGCATGTTTTTATAGAGTGGGTGCTAGAAATCTAGAAAGAAATATATATAAAAAAAAATATTCATATCTAAGAAAACAAATGAGGTCGGGTTAAGATGGCGGAGTATTTCTTAAATTTGAACCGCTTCCGGTGGTGCATGCGTAGTCACAATTCCATAAATCACTTCTGTTTTCCCTTTTATACATCTTTATGGACTTTTGTTTCTTACTAATTTTTCATACTTATTTTTGCGGTTATTTTTAGCCATATTGTCTTTTGTTTTTTATATCTGTGTGTATTTATTTATTCAGTATGTGTCTTTTTCTGAGTCAATGCGGTTTACTCATATTTTGATTCTGTTACTCGCATACGCGCAGCTTTGGGTCGGCGGATATTCCTTCTGCAGGAATTCACGGCGCATGCGTTAAAAAATATGATGACACGATACCGGGAAGTACTGCTTCAAAAGATACGTGAGCATTAGGCAGATGTGAAGAAAAATAGAAAATATGAGTTGAGAAAAATGAGAGACAACATGGATAAAAAGAAAGAAAAAAAAAACATTTAAAAAAGGTGGTAAAAAAAAAGAGACGTATTGAAAAAATAAATACTGAGGGAGAAGAAAACAATAAAAATTATAAAGAGTACCGACGTCAAGGGGAGAGAGAGAGAGAGAGAGACTGACAGCGAAAAAGAAAGAAAGAAAGAAACAGATAAACAAACAAAGAAGGAAATACACGGAGTATGAGAAAGAAAGAAAGAAAGAAAGAAAAAGGAACATATAAACAAACAAAGAATCAGATACACGGAGTATGAGAAAGAAAGAAAGAAAGAAAGAAAGAAAGAAAGAAAGAAAGAAAGAAAGAAAGAAAGACAAATAAACTATTGAATTGTAGAAGATATGTAAAAACTGAAGGATGGAAAGAAAGAAAGAAAGAAAGAAAGAAAGAAAGAAAGAAAAAAGGAACATATAAACAAACAAACAATCAGATACACGGAGTATGAGAAAGAAAGAAAGAAAGAAAGAAAGAAAAAGAAAGAAAGACAAATAAGCGATTGAATTGTAGAAGATATGTAAAAACTGAAGGATGGACAAGAAAGAAAGAAAGAAAAGAAAAAAGAAAATAACAGTAGAGGAAAGACGAGGGTGAAGAATAGAATAAGAAATGAAAAAAGCATGAAAATGAGTGTAATATAAAAATAAATACAAACAGGAAGAAAGTGACAAATAACTGACAAGAAGAAGAAAAAAAAAGGATGGGTAACAGAAAATGTGAAATACAATTAATTAAAAGTATGAAATATGTGTTAAAAAGGAGCGGAAAATAGATATGACAGCAAGAAAAAGGAAAGAAAGAAAAAGTAAAAAACGAAGGAAAGAAAGAAAAGAAGCAAAGAAAGAAAGAAAAGAAAAGTAGGAAAGAAAAAGAAAATGAAAAAAGAATGAAAAAATTAAAGAAAGAAATAAAGAAAAATTGAACAAACAAATAAAAAAAGAGATGAAGAAAGAAAGGAAGAAAAGAAAGACAAATGAAAAGGAAAAGAAAAAAGAATGAAAGCAATAAGAAAGAAAGAGAGAAAGAAAAGAACGAAAGTCAGAAAGAAAGAAAGAAATGAGAAATAAAAGAAAGAAAGAAAAGTAAAGAAGGAAATAAAAAAGAAAAGTAAAAAAGAATAAAAGGAAAAGAAGAAAGGAAGGAAGGAAGAAAGAAAGAAAAGAAAGACAAGAAAAGAAGGAAAGAAAAACGAAAAGTAAAAAAAGAATGAAAGGAATAAAGAAACGGAAGAAAGAAAGAAACAAACAAACAAACAAAGGGATAAAAGAAGAATGAAAAAAAGAAAAGTAAAAAATGAAATAAAAGAAAGAAATAAACAAACAAATAAAAGAAAAGAAATAAGGAAGAAAATAAATTCCTTCAAAAAAGAAAAAAAAAAAGTTAAAAAAATAATATAATAATATAAAAAAGTAAAATAAATAAATAAATAAATAAAGAAAAATATAATGATTAAAAAACACTTTAAGAAAAGAAAGAAAAGAAAATAAAGAAATAAAATAAAGAAAAAAGAAATAAAGAAAGAAAGAAGGGAAAGAAAATGAAAAGTAAAAAAATGAAATAAAAGAAAAAATAAACAATAAACGAACAAAGAAAAGAAAAAGGAAGAAAATGAAATAAAAGAAAAGAAAAATTTTTAAAATGAAAAGTAAAAATAATTTTGAAAAAATAGTTTAATTAAAAGAAATAAAGAAAGAAAGAAAAGAAAGAAAGAAAGAAAGAAAGTTTTAAAGAAAGAAAGAAAATTAAAATTCACCCGTATTAAGAAAACACTGAAAGAAAAAAAGAAAGAAAAAAGAGGCATGGATTAAGAAAACACTCAAAGAAAGAAAGAAAGAAAGAAAGAAAGAAAGAAGGAAAGAAAAATGAAAAGCAAAAAAATGAAATAAAAGAAAGAAATAAACAATAAACGAACAAAGAAAAGAAAAAAGGAAGAAAAGAAAGAAAAGAAAAGAAAAAGTGAAAGAAAAACAGAAGTAAAAAAATAATGAAAAGAAATAAAGAAAAGTAAAAAAGAAAGAAAGAAAGAAAGAATGAAAGAAAGAAAGAAAGTAAAAAAGAAATGAAGGAAAGAAACAAACTCGAACAAGAACAGATAAGACCGGAGACGCCTTAGTGAAAGGGCAGCTGTAAAGATAAGAGTAAACGGACACAAGAGCAAATAAAAAATAATAAGATATAAAGCAAACAAAAATGCAAAAGGGAGCAGAGAAATTGACGCCCCAAATCTGAGAAACCCTAAGGACCAAAGAGGATAGAAAAACTAGAATAGGAGCAAGTTAACATGGGCTAAAAGTTATTGATATAGACAAAGATATTGACGGGTAATGTTAGACGTAAAAGAAAGAGAACAAAGGAAATGGCGTCGAGGTAAAAGAAATAAGTAAAACCTAAGATGGAGGAAATTCAGATCGTATGGAATAAAGGAAAGATTCAAGCCAATGAAAGAACGAGAAAAGGTTCACGCGTGTGGAGACGAATATGAACAAGAAGAATAAGGTCTAATTTAGTAATAGAACAAGAATCAAGTAAAGAAGGAAAACGTCATGCAAGTTGCAAATAAAGGGGGAAAAATTAGATTGAGAACGAAGTAACGGAACAAGAATTTTTTGAAATGGATGAGAAAGAAAGAAACGTCTATGAATAATGTAATAAAACAAAAAAATATAGATTCTCGCTTAGTCAAAAATGACTGACGGGTACAATTTATCTCTGATACTTACTCGATCGCTACATGTCAGATGCATACGCTTGATGCTTCCTTCCAGTAAACCCTTCTTTGTGATATTCTTTTCTCTGCTTACATTGGAGTGGCAGCCATTTTGGTTTTCTATATTTTGACGTAAGAATTCGCCATTCTTTTGCATTCATCTTTTCTTTTCCCATTATTACTTTTTTTATGTACATATGGGTTTTAGCAGGAAGAATGTTTATTACCTAGATTTAGTGCGAATTTTTATAGATTGTTTTACGATTTTGTTTCAACTTTGTCTCTTCTATGTAAGCAATTTTCTTTTTTTTTCTGTACAGCGTACTATAAGTCTTACACTTACACAAAGACAAACACATATACGCTGGTGTGGCAAACTTTTGGTCCATCTTGGTAAGTTCATTGTGTTTATTATACTCCTAAATCGACAGTGATTAACGGCATATTTATCCCAGGATATTTCATGACATTTGAGAACCAGAAAACAAGGTACTGACTTCTATGTTAATGCTGCATCGTATAGAATTTTAAGCATATGTGTTCCTCCAGAAAGATGCTGAAGATACCATGGACCGAACATGTGAGAATCGACGAAGTTTTAGAGAAATTGGAAACTCATACAAAAAAAAAAAAAAATCAGGAAGAGGAATTCGAAATTTCTGGGGCAGGTAATGTGGAAGGAGAATTGCATAGAACCCTGGTGGGGGTGGTCTCATCTGGGCCGACAATGGCGAATCGTTTTGGTTCAGCAATGAAAGACTTCAAGCACAGAGATTTTTAGCTCAACAAGTTTTATTATTCATATCGACACGAACATTAACTTGTTGTTCATAATGACGGTTGTCTTCGAGAATAGAATCCAGAGGTTAGCAGTGAATATTTCGAAGACAGTAGGAAAGCGTTGTTCAGGTTAGCAGTGGATATTTCGATAAAAGTAGCAGAGCATAGTTCGTCCTTCTGGTTCTCTTCGCCTGACAAGCTGGACTGGACATTCGGCTAGAGTGAACTAAAATGGCCGCCTTTATACACGACGGATTGAATGTTCTATCTTCTGATTGGTTAACCTTCTATTGTCTATAAAGTTGGTTAACATCTGAGCTAACTTCTACATTGATATACACAACACACTGTAACATAACTAACTAACTAACTAACTAACTAGTGGGGGTCGCCCATGCTCTCACTGGGGAGCCGTTTCAGACACGAAAGAAAACACGTCTACATTGCGTGACAGGTAAGAACCAACTCGCCCTAAATTCTCTCCTGTTTCTCCTCCACGCTAGTTCAGCCAATCAAAATCGACTTCCTTATCATGGCTCTCATCTGACTCTGGCTATCAACCTCCGGAAGTAGGGGCCGAGATACACCTCCCCCGAAAAAATGATTGTCTGTTAAAATATTAACAGGAGGACGTGCAAAATATGATACTTAGAGCACAGTTTGAGGGAAAGACGGGGCGTTGAAAGCAGCGCAAAACATACTTGATGGCTTTGAGTAAAGGGATGGTAGAACAGGATTTGAGAGAAACAGCGAAAAGACAAAATTAATGAAGAACTATAAGGAGTAGGAAAATGATCTTCTACGTCTTAAAGGGGCACTGCATATAAAGAAGAAAATGCCAAAAAATATAATTCTATGCAAAGGTTCTGCGACAACAGAGAAATTTTCACCTTCCCGGTCTTAGCTTAAGAAAGTGATCTTTAAGAAAGTGATCTTCAAGGTACTTACGGCCACATCGCGTTTGAACACCGGTTCCCGTACAATCAGCGAAGTTAAGCAACGTCGAGTCTAGTCAGTACCTAAATTGGTGAGCGATTGGCAATGAAAAATGCTGTAAGATTGGATTTAAGGTGGTAAAATATTTAATGACACAGAATTGTTAAATGTAGAGCAGATTTTAATTTCCAGGTATTTTCCCTTATTCGTGGGCACGGTGTAATGGTTAGCGAGCTTGTCTTGCTAGAATAATTAAGACTGAGTAGTGAGTTCGATCCTCATTGGGTGCCACCAACTTTCGGCCTTGTGCCACATCTAAGCAACGATTAGAAAATAACTATTTTCCCTTATGCGCAAATAGCGTTGGGAGAAGTATGATCCAACTATTTCCCCTCCAGCTATGGGTTAATTAGTAAGGTATCACTAAACTATTATTATATCCAAATATAAAATAAAATTGCGTGCAAAATATTTTATTAATCGGAATCACCCCAAACAAGGCAGTATAGCCACTAACACACAAGGGGTTAAGAGGTGTGGACGAAACCGGAACAGAAACGTCACTAATGAGTAGAAAGAGAAAAGAGCAGTGAAGAGGATAGTAGATAGCGATTAACATTGCATTTAAATTTTTGAAGATTAAATTTAATTAAAAAACCATGGGGTCTGGACGGAGTTCCACAAGCAAGAAGACCTAACGTTCATTTTTCTCTCCCAATGAGCTGTTGATGAGCGTGGATATCTTGATGGCATTCATATTCAGGACAAAAAATATATCACCGGCTTCTTTTTTCACTGCACTTAAATCAGTTGCAATAGAAGCAAACGTATTATGGATGGTTTAAAATATTTCCTCTGTAAATTCCCAGCAGCCTAACTAAATTTTGGGCTGGGATTAAAGTGTAATATCTGTTCTCCTTTTCTCTAGTTATTATTGGAATGTTGCCGTTTATTGAGGAGCAGTCGGTACTACACGAATTATTCTTTTATTCACTTCCTGGTAATCATACTGGATCAAAGTGTAGTAACTGATCTTCCCATTTCTAATTGTAATTGGAATGTGTTCTGGATGGTTTTAATAATGTCTCTGGAAATTCCCAGCAGCCTAGCTATCTTTTGGGCTGGGATTAAAGTGTAGTATCTGTTCTGCTTATCTGTAATTGTTATTGAAATGTTGTCGTTTATTGAAGATCAGTCATAACTACACAGGTTATGCTTTTATTCATTTCCTGACGATCAGACTGGATTAAAGTGTAGTAACTGATCTTCTCATTTCTAATTGGAATTGGAATGTATTCTGGATGGTTTTTAGTAACGTCTCTGGAAATTCCCAAAAGACTCGTTCAAAGTCACAAATTTCGACTTCAGCAGAAATTCTAGCCATGATTTTTGTTTAAAAAAAAATAAGATAATGTTAAATTAAACGGCTTTTCAAGGCACCTTATACTCGTGTAAATAAGTTAGAACAATTCCAGCATATAAATTTACATATTAACATGACTTTCTCGTCTCATGATCTTTTTCAACATCAAAATGTGTAAAGCTATGTATTTGTTTGTTACACAACACCTGCAAATTCCACAATTTTCTCAATTCTACGAGGTTGAGAGACATTATAGAAGAAAGGTATTTTAAAATCCCTTAGCTTCTTAAAAAAGGATGCATAATCATTTTTTTGAGCAAGTGTATATATTGCTACAATATATATATATATATATATATATATATATATATATATATATATATATATCCATCGATTAATATTGTTAAGAAGACAGAGTTTGATTGAAAATAGCGGAGCTATCAATAATAAATATACGTTTCCTTCTTCAGCGACAGCACAATTCATCACTACAGTAATTTCCATGCATTGATTCATTAATAATCAGTAAATGAAGATTGTGTTGGGCATGAAACTCAGAGTTTTGATACTGGTGGGAAGAAAATGTATATCTATTATATATATATATATATAGATAGATAGATAGATAGATAGATATTGATAATATTAGTGGTTAATATACGCATACATATGCAATAATATATCTAAAATATATGAATATATATACATACATACAAATACATACATATATATTTATATAAAAAATAATTCCAAGAAGATAGAATCCAGGGAGAAACCAATGTCCAGGACAGACTAAGGATATAATAAAAAGGCTCAAACACTAATATTCCATGGTCATAATTTATTCCATTGGAATCGTAAATACGATCCAATTCATCAGACCTACAAATTAAAAAAAGACAGAAAAAAACAACTCCGAGAATAAAAAATAAAATTTAGCGAGAGTGTATGTATGAGAGTGGGGGACGAATGTTAGAGTAAAAGAAAGTTATACGGAGAGGTAACAGACGAGAGAAAAACTGGAAGGTCTAAAGATGAAGGGGGGATGAAAATTTAACAGAGAGAAGTTTTAAAGAGGGGAGTCAAAGACGGTTTAAGTGAGAGAAATATGAATATTCTCGGATGTCTACATTAAAGATATACCGGAAAGGATACAATTTCTGGTGACATACACACACAATAGGCGATATAATCTTAAAGATCAGAAGATGAGAGAGGGAGTGGAAAAGAAAAGAAAAGAAAAAAGGTGGGGGAGAGCGATGGGGCATTTGGGGATGCAAAACCGAAGGGCATTTATAAAATGGACGCTGTGTAATCAAGAAAATTTGACAAAATTAATATCGACTACAGGTTACAAATCAAGTTTAAACATATAAAATAAACAGATATAACGATTATCTAATCTAGCAATATTTCTATGTTCAAACACACATGCGTATACACACATACACAAAAACATATTTATATTTACACGTGCATACATACATACAGACATGTACACACATACCCATACATATATATATATATATATGTACATATTTATATATATATAAACACATAGATATACACATATATATACAGATTATATATATATATATATATACACATACATATATATATACAAACATATATATATTTATGTATATATATATATATATATATATATATATATATATATATATATATATATACATACATATATATATATATATATATATATATATATATATATACATACATTTATATACACACATATATATATATATATATATATATATACACACCCCTATATATATATATATATATATATATATATATTATATATATATATATACATATATATATATATATATATATACATATATATATATATATATATATATATATATACATACATATATATATATATATATATATATATATATATATATATACACATATATATATATATACACACATATATATATATATATATATATATATATATATATATATATATACACACATATACACATATATATATATATATATA